TTTTTTGATAACCGAGAAATCCATCTGTGACCCGCCCTTTGGACCAATCACAGCCTTCTAAACTCGGTAGATAATGGGCCCGCCCCTCTACCCTTCTCCACTTAAATACCGGGCTTTGCTTTGCATGGTGTGGGGCTTGAACCTGTGACCTAAGCCACAAATCCTCCACCTTTTGCCACTTGAGCTAGGCCCAAATTCTAATTTAACAAGTAATGAGATACAATGGTGACTAAATAAAATCTACCTAAAGAAGCCCATTCATGGAAAACTAATGATATTTAGTAATTTCATTTTATCTTCATAAAATTCTGACGAGGGTGGTGATAAGGCCAGCTAGTACATGCGCACTCAGTCAATCCATCAAGCAGCCTGCTACAACTCACAAATGCAGGTGCCTATAACCATACCCACTAAGGCTCAGCAAATGGACTCACACTTATTATTCGAGCTAGGATCCAAACGTGGGATCTACGAGTTCTTATTCCTATACCTCAACCACTCATCCGTCCCATTGGAGACATGCTCCAACCAGTCCAAAGATCAGACAGAATCCAATTCACCACAGTGCCAACTTTATAACTGTGACAATATTCTTGATATTATGGAGAACTCTTTTTCCCACATGCATGTGCACCTCATCTGAAAAAGAGAACATTGTAGGGTGCACATATCTTTTTCCACTACAAACAAAAAGAACCAACAGACCCAGAACTTTGCATAGCTAAGAAACATCACACATAAGAACAGCTTTCATTATGTAAACACGGTTGATGGTAGCATAAGACATGAAAATTCCTCAACATGCAAGTCGTGACCCAAGGCACTACAAGTTCAATTTCATTTGTATATATCTCTAAATTTTTTTATAGTAGGGAGGCAGAGGGAAATTATATCTGGAACATACACAATCCAACAAACTCTGATGGAGTAAATAGCAACTGAAAGCCTACCTCCCAGTAAAGTTGCTTGCAATCCATGCATTGCCAAAATTCCAAATTCTTGTTAAACAAGCAGTTTGGAATCACCTGAAATCCCTTAGCTGCTTCAACAGCTTCTTCTGTTGTCAGAGGTTTTTGGATGAACTTACCGTTGCATTTTGTGCACCTTGACATCAACTGGTCCTCAGAAATTTCCAATTGAAAAGTTTCTATTACCTGTAGATATGCAAGGTAATATTGCCATGAGCAGACAGTTGACAAATTGTCAAAGAAATTTTTTTGATACTGTTCACTTGCACTCCTGTCCCCCATCCCCCTTTCCTCTCACATTTTGTTCATCCATTCAAAAACATTTTCATATCTAACTGCATGCTCTACAATTTGAAGGCATTCATTTTACCTCAACTAACTGATCGTTCTTTAAAAGACTCTTCACCCGGTATATCTGATTTTTTAAGAGATAATCATGTCTCAAGAGTTTGGCATCTCGTGTTAAGAGTACTCTCTTCTCTTTACAGGCTTGTTCAATTAAATCCCTGAAGAATAAAAAGTCAGAAAAGTTATCACAAGATTCAGGCTTCTTTGAATAAGAATCAACTTAGAGAAGAATCGAAAATCATTCAAAACCTCGATTCAGGCTTCTTTGAATAAGGAACAGCAGCATCAATGCCAACGCATCTTAAATGTTTTGCCAATCCTTCAACCTGAAAGATTACCACAAGTCACAACCTCCAATAACAACCACAAAAAGAAGAAAAATGTGCCATACTTTCGCCTCCCAAAGAAAGAGAAAGAGGAGAAATCTCCACCTTAATGCAAGAGAGAGCATTAAAGAAGCCTAAGCGTATCAGTTTTACAGAAAAGCAATATTTGTAACTAAAATATGGTATCTCACCATCACATCACATAGAAACTTAGGACACCCATTCCCACCGGAGGTCGCATCCCAGGGTGGTGGACCTTGCCATTCTTCACCACCTTCTGTTGGACTGCGTGTGTTTGCTACTCTACCAGATGATTTCTTTGCTTTCTTTCTCGAGATCTTTGGTTTTCTATCAGATTCACTTAACAAAATTTTATCACCATACTTCCTGACAATTTGTGAAAGCACGTAATCCATCCGATTAGCTTGATCTGGTGGCAGTGCAGTAACCTCTTCATCTGATATAGGGACGGTTTTACAAAAATCAGGCGGGATAGCTTGGACCATCTCTAAAGCTTCACCAAATTTGATACCACACATTTTGTTAGAGTTTTGTTGTGTGTCAAATATCTGTTTCAAACCAAGATCCAGCTGAGACAACTGGAGACCCATCGCACTTTCGACAGAATTCCCTGAAATGGACCGGTTACCAAATGTAAATAGGACAAACTAGATAGACATAATGCAGTAAAAAGGGACTTCTTTTTGCCTATGATGATCTATAGCTCCTGATGACTGACAGGACATAACTCGCCTTTTCATTTACTGTTTATTCTGGGGCATCACAGATTGGAAATTTAGAAGTTAAAATATAATTGGACATCTGAGGTACAAAGTCAGGACCAAATATGGATTAATCTCTCTCCTACCACTGCACTGCTGCAAACACTTGTCATACCAAAGCTTCTTTCAGAAGGGGCATATTGTATTACCCCATCCCCCAACACACACACAAGCACACCTACTTTTGTTGTTCGAAAGGAGATATACTCCAATAGAAAACCTAGTGAACATACTCAAGACACCTAACTTTCTAGACAGAACTATCTTTCCAATCAAGGAAGTCGGTTACTGGTGTATCAGAGCTGCTTCATGGAGGTTGCAACACGTGGGCATGCACTGGAAGAAGATGAGAAAGGTACTTCACCAACCTTCTGTCACGGACTTAGCCTTGAAGACTTCAAGGATATGAATCAAACAATAAGCATCAACTGCTGCGTATTGCATTTGCTCTTCTGTCAGAGGACGCTGTGACCAATCACTGCATTGGAGTTCCTGCACTCGAGATGCAAAAAAGTAAAACAAATGGAGTATTTTAAATTTTTTATAATAAATTCATATCTATATTCCTGAGTAATAAAATGCCAATATCAAGATTGCACACCTTTGATAGAGAAATCCCCAAAACCTCCTGGCAAATTGTTGCCAAGCTCTTTGTTTGCTTTGATAATCTTCTCCCTGGTTGTTTGGGTTGCAGGTTGTTGTATATGCTTGTTATATCTAAAAAGGGTTCCACCTAGTCACCAATTATTAGCTAGTATATGACAAGCATTAACCACACAAAACAAAAATCAGTCCTATAAAAAGTTAACGAAACATAAGAGTGTGCAGCATATAGAATGTGTTGATTGAACCAAAATTGCTTCAAGAGCAAAAATAGTCCCAAGTACTTTAGCAAACTACAAATATTAACTGCAGCAATGACATATCCATAAATTCAACAGTTCTTTTACTATCTAGGACAGTGATTAAAAGCAAAAGCCGGAAAATTTTTAAGCAACCAAGCATAAGCACCTAGCGCATATACCGGGCGTGGGGTTAAGAAGTCTGTCATTGAGCTATCACTTAGTTCTTGCAGAGTTGGCTTAAGTAGTGTTGACCAGTATATATCACTACACAAAACTATGCAAGTTAAGCTCCTTAATCAATATCATGAAACTTCAAAGCACCACAATTAACATATCATTTTGCAATTTGAAGTCACATCTGAAAGCAATATGCTATATATAAAATAAAAGCTTTGACAATTGTATTGTAACTCGAATAAGCATTTCTTCAGAAGACAAAAAACAAAACTAACCCTATCAAAACCAGGTTCGCAGCCATGAGCGCAGAAAGTAGAAGATAAATACACTAAATCTTGTTTGAATCTGAATCCCAATTTCAGTATATTCGGCGAGACAAACGCATTCCTAATAAGCTGGTAAATTGATTGTAAAGGGATCGACGCTAGGTCAATTAAGAAGACCGGCGATTTCACCGACGAGTTGTCGGCGCCGGGGAGCTGACAAGCGATTTGGAGAAGCGAGACGGTGGGGAAAGTGGACTGATGGGTTCGAATTGGTTTCCATTCGGCGTCGAGTCCGATGACTGATGAATGAGTCAATGCCCGAGTCAGATGGTTGAACTCGGGCGAGTCAGGGGATGAGACCAGGTGTATGGACTCCATGGGTTCGGAGAAGTCCGTCTCTTGGTGATCCTTGATTTACTATATTGTGTAAATTAAATTGAAAATTTGAAATTGATAATTTAATATTTAGAAATTTAATAATCGAATATCACATATTAAGAGTTTTTTATTTTTTATTCGGTGTTCAAAGTTTGTATTAGAGTTTCAATTAAATTTGAATTGCGCACTGCAGGACCCATTTTGGGATAGCGCTCTTGTAGGATTTTCTTTATGGAAAGTGCTAAATGGCCAAAAAATTATAGTTTTTTTATTTAAAATAAACTGATCTTTTTTTCATTTTTTAGTTAAAATGTATTAAAGGTAAAAATGTTTAAAAAGATAAAAGAACATAGATAAAATACCATTCTAGCCAAAAGGATTTTTCCTTTCTTTATATACATAGATTAAACCTAGGACATCTGATTAAGATTGGAACGGTCATATATTAGAGTTTGGACCATATAACATAAATATTAAATACTTATTTTCTTCATATTTACGGCCCGAACCCTAACTAAATGCTTTATGAATTTAAACAATGATTGCGACATTAAACACGTGAAGTACTGAATGACTCTTAAGTCGTGTGTGCCTGCACGACTCGTCAAATGTGGCAAACTCTTTTCACAAGAATTCAAGTTATGATGTGTCCATTCCTTAGAAATTTTTTTCATGTGAATTCAGTTAAGTTTGCTTTGAATTTAATTATTGATTGTGACATTGAAGTCGTGAGGTACTGACATGTGTGCCTTCACTACACACTCGGCGTGTGTGCATCTACGACACACTCAGTGTGTGAGCCTGCACGACTTACCAATGTGTCAGATTCTTTTCATGCGAATTCAATTTTTGATGTGCTAATTCACTAGTTTTTTTAAATTTAATTAGTTGCTTTATGAATTTAAATAGTGATTGCAACCATTAAAGGCATGGGGTACTAAACAACTCTTAAGTCGTGTAAATATGCACCACTTGTTAGATGTGGCAAACTTTTTTCACTTAGAATTAAATTTTTAATATGCGTATTCCCTAAATTCTTCTTACACACGTATTTAGTTAAGTTTTTTATGAATTTTAAAATGTGATTATGACATTAAAGGCGTGAGGTACTGAAACTTTTAAGTAGTGTGTGTTTGCACGACACACTAGGTGTGTGAGATTGCACGACTCTCCAGATGTGGCAAACTCTTTTCATGTGAATTCAATTTTGATGTGTTCATTTTCTAGATTATATTTCACGTGAATTAAGATAAGTGCTCTGTGTATTTAAATAGTGATTGTGACATTAAAGATGTGAGTTATTGAACAATTTTTAAATTTTGTGTTCCTGCACGACTCGCCAGATATGAAAGACTTCTTTCGCGTGAATTCAATATGTGATGTGCCTATTCTCTAGATTATTTTTCTTATGAATTTAAATAGTGTTTGAGACCATGAGGTACTGAAAATTCTTACATCACGTGTGCATGCATGACTCGCCAAATATGGTAGATTCTTTTCATGGGAATTTAGTTTTTGATGTGCCTATTCTCTAGATTTCTTTTCACGTGAATTTAGTAAAGTGTTTTATAAATTTAAATCATGATTGCGACATTAAAGGCGTGAGGTACTGAACAGTCGTGCGTGCCTACATGACTTGTCAAATGTGGCACACTGTTTTCCTATGAATTCAATTTTGGTGTGCCAATCCTAGATTATTTTTACATGATTTTAGTTAAGTGATTTATGAATTCGAATAGTGATTGCGACCTAAGAAGTATTAGTGGGAGATGATTCAATGGATTTAGGAATTTAAATAGTGATTACGCATTAAAGGCGTGAGGTACTTAACGATTCTTAATTCGTGTGTGTCTCCACAACACACTAGACGTGTGAGCCTACACGTTTGCTTGATGTGTTATATTTTTTCACGTGAATTCAATTTTTGATGTGTAGATTTCCTAAAAAAAATTTCCACATGAATTTAGTTGTGTGCTTTAGAAATTTAAACATTGAATGTGATATTAAATATGTGAGGTATGGAATGATTATTAAGTTATGTGTGCCTGCACAACTTTCCAGATGTGGCAGACTCTTTTCGTGTGCATCCAATTTTTTATGGGTCCATTCCCTAATTTTTTTTCAACTGAATTTAGTTAAGTGCTTTATGAATTTAAAGAGAGATTGCATCATTAAAGGCATAACGTATTGATTGACTCTTAAGTCACATGTGTCTGCACGACACACAAAACATGTAAACTTGCACGACTCTCGAGATATGACGAAAATCTTTTCACGTGAATTAAGATGGAGTGCCGATTCCCAAAATTTTTGTCACGTGAATTTAATTTTTAATATGCTAATTCCCTAGATTTGTTTTCACGTGAATTTAGATATGTCATTCAAGAATTTAAATAGTGATTGCACATTAAAGATGTGAGGTACTTAATCATTACTAACTCGTGTATGTTTGCATAACACACTAGACATGTAAGCCTGCGCGTTTGTTTGATAGGTTATACTATTTTCACGTGATTTCAATTTTTGATGTGTTCATTTCCTAGTTTTTTTTTTCATGTGAATTTAGTTATTTGCTTTAGGAGTTTAAATATTGACTGTGTTATTAAATGCGTGAGATATTGAATGACTGTTAAGTTGTGAGTGCCTGCACGACTTCTAACTGTGGCAGACTCTTTTAACGTGAATTCGATTTTTTATGTGCTTGTTCTCTAGATTTTTTTCCACATGAATTAAGTTAAGTGCTTTATGAATTTAAATAGTGGTTGCAACATTAAATGTGTAACATACTGAATGACTCTTAAGTCACGTGTGCCGCACGACACACTAGTCATGTGAGCCTGCACGACTCTCGAGGGATAACAAATTATTTTCACGTTCCTTAGATTCTTTTTCACGTGAAGTTAGTTATGTGATTTAGGAATTTAAATAGCGATTGTACATTAAAGGCGTGAGGTACTTAATAATTCTTAACTCGTGTGTTTTTGTACAACACACTAGACATGTGAGCTTGTACATTTGTTTGTTGTGTTTTACTCCTTTCACGTGAATTCAATTTTTTATGTGTCCATTTCGTAGTTTTTTTTCATGTGAATTTAATTATGTGTTTTAGAAATTTAAATATTGATTGAGATATTAAATGGGTGAGGTAGTGAACGATTGTTAACTTTTGTGTGCTTGCATAATTTTCCAGACGTTGCAGACTCTTTTCACGTGAATTTAAATTTTTATGTGCCCATTTCCTAGACTTTTTACATGTGAACTTAGTTAAGTGTTCTATGAATTTAAATAGTGATTGTGACATTAAAGGCGTAACATATTGAATGACTCTTAAGTCGTGTGCCTTCATAATACACTAGTCAGGTGAGCTTGCACAACTCTAGAGATATAATAAACTCCTGTCACGTGAAAGCCTATTCCCTAAATCTTGTCACGAGAATTTAATTTTTGATATGCTCAATTCCTAGATTCATTTTTACGTGAATTTAGTTAAGTCCTCTATAAATGTTTACTTTTACCTTCTTAAATGTTTTATGTGAAAAGGAATTCAATTAAGCTCTGTCACTTCAATGATTTTCCAGTTTTGATCAATTTTAATAAACAATATCCTTTTGAATATTTTTTATTTTAAAATGTGACTCTTTTAGTTTCGAAATTTACACACACATATATTAAGCTTCTACTCTTGGTTTGGCGATAACGACAGACACACGAACTAAAATAGATTTAAAGATTAATTTCATAGTGGAGATGGGAAAGCTTCTTAGATAGGGCGATAGCCTGACTTCTTTCTATCAAAATAAATTGAATTTGAAAGTGCACCACCCTTCTTTACTTTACAACAACCTCCACCCAATGTGCTTTAAAAGGTTAACTAAAAAACTCTCATAGTTATGTGATTTTGGAATTTAAATATTGATTGGGATATTAAATGTGTGAGGTACTGAATGACTGTTAAGTTGTGTGTATCTGCACGACTTTTTAGATGTGTCATACTCTTGTCACGTGAATTCAATTCTTTATGTGTCCATTCTCAAGATTATTTTTTCACGTGAATTTAGTTATGTGCTTTAAAAATTTAAATATTGAGTATGATAGTAAATGTATGAGGTATTGAATGTGTGTTAAGTTGTGTGTGTCTACACGACCTTCCAAATGTGACAGACTCTTTTAACGTAGATTTTATTTTTTATGTGCTTGTTTCCTAGATTTTTTTCCACGTAAATTTAGTTAAGTTCTTTATGAATTTAAATAGTGATTGCAACATTAAATGTGTAACATACTGAATGACTCTTAAGTCACGTGTGTCACATGACATACTAGTCACGTGAGCCTGCACGACTCTCGAGAGATAACAAATATTTTTCACGTTCCTTTGATTCTTTTTTCAGAGGAAGTTAGTTGTGTGATTTAGGAATTTAAATAGTGATTGTGCATTAAAGGCGTGAGGTACTTAACAATTCTTAACTCCTGTGTGTTTGTACACACTTGACACATGAGTCTGCACGTTTGTTTGATGTGTTATACTCCTTTCACATGAATTCAATTTTTAATGTGCCTATTTCCTAGATTTTTTATGTGAATTTAGTTATGTGCTTTAGAAATTTAAATATTGATTGTGATATTAAATGCGTGAGGTAGTGAATGACTATTAAGTTTTGTGTGCCTGCACGACTTATCAGACGTGGCAAACTCTTTTCACGTGAATTAATTTTTTACGTGCACATTTCTTAGATTTTTTTTTCATGTGTATTTAGTTAAGTGCTTTATAAATTTAAATTTTGATTGCGACATTAAAGGTGTAACATACTGATTGACTCTTAAGTCATGTGTGCCTGCACGACACACTAGTCATGTGAGCTTGCACAATTCTCAAGATATAATAAATTCTTGTCACGTGAATTCAAATGAAGTGGCTATTCCCTAAATCTTGTCACGGGAATTTAATTTTTGATATGCTTATTTTCTAGATTCATTTTCACGTGAATTAAGTTAAGTCCCCTATAAATGTTTACTTTTACTTTCTTAAACTTTTTATGTGAAAAAAAGTTC